TTTCTAAAAAGTAGGATGGCACTCCAATTGGATGAGACAGTAAACAGGATCTTAAAAAAGTAAATTTAGTTTTGCCACCAACACCTCTGTTATCTAAAACATACAGTGTTCATTACAATCAAAAGCACAATCCAGGCACTTGACAAAGATCAGTCTCATTGTGTTCCTAGTGTCTGGAGCAAGCTCACCATCTATCCCTTGTCACTCTCAAAGCTCAGCCTCTCATACGGAGATATCAGTTTACCTCAATGAAGAAAAATGCTTAATGATAATTTTAATATAGCTTTAGCTATCTTATCTGGAGAAAATTTCTACATATTCTATAAAATGTATCACGGAAGGTAGTTTCCAACATTTCTCGTGTAAGAATCTAGGTAATTAATACTATTTTTAAGTGACAGTAAAGAGGAGAAAGTTTGGGACTGAATTTGGAAACACCCGAATATGAAATTTTTGATCATTTGTCCTTATATTAATGATCTTCCTGTATCAGAAGCTACCACAAATCTGTTCCAGAAGTAAGTTAGGTAAAAACAAGTAGATCAATTGCACTTGACTCCACATCATTTCTAACTATATAAAAAAATGACACAATACAGCTACCTTTGCACCCTGTCAGCTTGTCTTCTAGCTGAGTTTGTCAGGAAGCAGGTCAAGATAACAACTTCTCAATCATTTAATTCGTATGTATTGAATACCTACAGAACAACGTACCCTAATGAGTACATTAATTGATGTTAAGATTACATGCCTAACCTTGGAAGACTCAAATTCTCTGGCTGCCTATGTATTTCTCAACTCTGTACTTCCTCTCCAATAAAAACAGGGTCGTTGAGTTAGTCAGACCTTGTTCAAATCACAGCTCTTAATTGGTGTATGATTTTGGGCCAATTAGTTAACTACCTCTTCATCTATAAAAATAAGGAAAATACCACTTAACCTGTATTGTCATCACAAAGACTAAACCAGATAATCTATGAAAAAAATCACCTAGCATAATAGTTGGCATCAGTACTCCGTAAACAGTAATTTCCTTTGTCCTTTCTTCATTCCTTAAAAAAACCTGGCCCTAGCTAGGCAATCTGACTACTTTTCCTGTTGGACTGTAAACTCCATGTGGGTAAGTACCTGACAATAAAAAGGTATTTAGTGAATAATTAATACATGCATGAGTTAATGAATGAGTAATGAATAACCAAGGATCTGTTTTATTAGAGTCTTTGTCCTACGATTACTTTGAATTAAAACCAGAAAACTCATCCACTGGAGTCTACTTTTAGAATTTTCTGCCCAAACTTATGTGCCCCTACAGATACTTGAAATAAATACAAAGCTCCACCTGAAGCCATTGCTCCTACACATTATCCCAGTGATTTGTTTTACACCAGTTATTAAACCCATTTGAACTTTGTACTACCAAGTATGCAAATTCAATCAACTTGCTATGCCTTAATTAAAAGAAAATGAGTTTTAGTTAATGACAGTGGGAGCCGATAAAAAACATTTACTTTACACCTTTAAGTGATGCAAATTGAGTATTTCACATATAAACAAATTTATTCTTGATGGTAAGATTTGCTAATAGGAGCACCACAGGATAAACCAACTCTTAACAACAATGGTTCTATTTCAGTTTCATTCTTATTTTTCCCTTGCAATAAATTTAGATGCATTAATTTTTTTTTGCAATACCCTCTCACTGTCAATTAAAATACTTTATCAGGAAAAAGTGTTAATTGGAAAACAAGCAATAATTTACCCACAATGAAATGATACTACATATTATCCATAAAAATGTTTTCTCTGTCTTTGCTTAAGTTTTTCCAATTTTCCCTTCCTCCAGATAAATGGAAAAATTTTTTCAGTGTTTTCAGAAGGAAAACTGTGTAATCGTTGACATAATCACTTGAATCTCTGGGTAGAATGAGTGAATGTAAGACATATTCTCATATGGGAGATACTAAAATCAATTGGAAAACTGTAAGATGAAGAACTTTAAAATGATTATAAGAGTAAATCAGTGTAGCTGTCCTGAATTTATATTTGTTATTAATTTTAATATGGAGAGTACTATCATTTGGATGTTATTGATAAACTTTTATATTTTAAAGGAAAATATGGCAATATCCAAAGAGAAAACTGCAAGAAATGTTTTAAGATCTCTCACATTAGGAAGAATCTAATAAACAGAAATTTGAGACCTGTGACTACGACTTTTAAAAGTATATTTTAGAGGGTATAGCCCAAGATGATCAATAATAGTTCTAAAATGGTATTTTACACATCTGTCAACTAATTGATAAAAATCTTATAAAAATACAAAAATACAATTTTAAATAAACGAGGAAACAAAGCTCAGTATCTTAGCAATCACTCAACAGCAGTCCAATCCCTTTATCTTACAAGTAATGAAGCCAAAGAATTTGCTCCTCTTCTTTCTACACAGTCTGATATCCCCTATTAGGTTCCCACTGCTCCCTCACAGGTCCCCACAGTCCACGGAACACATTCACGACACCTGGTCATGGTCTCAGGCCAGCCAACTGCCTTCTGTCACCCTGTTCATCACCTTGAGAGGCCTTTGTGCTTGGTCCTTTTAAATAAATGATTCGAGTTTTTCAAACTACCACTGGTCATGAAAGCAAAGAACTGTTGCAGTATTTGGGGGGCGGGGGGCAGGAGTCAGGGCAGCAAGGCTTAGTCATCAAACAAGGGACCTGGACACTATTCAGGTCTAGTGTCACTGAAGTCTACTTTCCTGTCTTTCAACATGGGATCCTGAAGGAATCTAGTTTCCATTCGCCTACCCTTCCCAGAAGAGGGGGTGGAGGAGGCAACATAGTCTCTGTTTTCTACCCTCCACACAGCAAAAGACAAGTCCATAATTACTTACTGGTGTGTAGCTGGATTTTCTTATAAATAACAAGAATTTTCTTATATATAATGAAGCAGGTCAGAGGTATTATTAAGAAAGAATAAACCCTCAAAAAGAAATAAATTTTTTCCCATTGCCTTTAATTTTTCACACTCAGTTCTATTGGTAATACCCAATGTTATCCACAGGTCATATCCAATCAAAGGGCTGTAGAACTTTAGCAAATCACCCACTCCTTGGGCCTGTCTTCTCATGTTTGAAATAAAAAGACTGAACATCTCGATCTCCAAGGTCCTTTTATACTGTAATACTGTCTCATTTACAATCTAAATTCAGTTATAAGGCAGATTAGATTCATCTGCTTGTCGGTTAAGGCAGTGCTCTCCAAAATGGGTATACACGGCAATTAATTAGGGGAGTAGGAACAAAACATTAGAACTTTTATATATTTTTTAATCCAAAAGGATAGGACAAAGACTCAGCTTTATATGCTCTTCCTGAATATTCTGAATGACACTGGTGTCTTCCCTTGGTCTGTAGAACAAGAGCTCCACAAAGCAGAGGGAGCATCAGAGAAGCACTCTTGGTCCATTCTCAACTTACAGCAAGTTTCTTGTGCCTGATCGTGGGTTTTTACAGATATTATCGAATGCTTACCAGACAGACGAGAGGCTTACAAGGATTTCTGCAAAGTAATCTCAGATTAAAAATAATACCAATAATGCAAACATAAGTGAATGACTAAAACACAGCAGGGCCAACACCTTTCTTGAAACAAGCTCTTTGTCAACCTCATTACGAGGTAAAGCAATGACGATGGAATTAGATTAGCTCTGACAAGCTGTAGTCCTCCCAAATCAAAATTATCAAGATGTACTAGAAGAGTCCACTATCCTTAATTCTGAACTTTTCATTGGTGTATAATAGGCTTTGAGGTTTGTTAAAAATGATAATACATAAGTAAAATTAAAAAAAAATATTTCCAATATATGTTGGCAAAAATTTATACTGATAAGGGTATATAATTAACATAGCTTAGCGCCTTCTTTATGGGGAAGTGGTTGCAGCTGCAACTGGATGCATGTGGAGAGTTCACATAAAGCTGCTTAATAATATTACGGCCTCAGCAACCGTTTTGTTTGGCCAAGTGGCCTGCAGGAGCCTTAAATGCAAGACTGTGCCCTTGATAACAGTCTGCAGAGTCACAAGCAAATGTCAGTTCCTAATATGACTCCTCCTTGTGGTCATCAGTGTCCTCCACCTCCTAGGCCCATCCCTTTGTGCACCTCTTAGAAAAGACCACTGCAGAGCTTACCAAAACCTAGCTCTTTTTAGTTTGAATCGACCAATTTTGTCTTAGCTTTGGAACCCCAAAGCACTCCACCCACCCTAATAAAGGCATGTGCCCCAGGTCCTGTCTCTCTGTCTGTGCTCTGCCGTGACCTCCCTGTGTTACCCTTGGAGGTGAGTCGTGTACCTTCTTGGGGCCTGTAAATAATAAACTTCTCTATTTCAATTCCTCTTGTGGTCTTCCATTGAACTGCAGCTCACCATCTGGCACCCTGTGTGCCAGTTAACAAATGTTAATTTAACAACGTCATAATAACGCACCACGGAGCACTGGAGGCACACAGACCTGTGCTAGGCTCACAGCTCTGACACACAACGAGCTGTGTGGTCTGGATAAGCCTCTGAGGCTCTGACTTCTAGTCTAGAAAGCTGTGAAAATCTTACCCGTCTCGTAATCTGTAAAGGTGTGAAAACAATACCCGTCTCACAGGGTTGTTGTGGGACTTGAACAAGAATATTTGGCACATGTAGGTCTTGATAAATATTATTTTCTTTTTCCTTATTCTTTTTTTTTATTATTGAAGTATAATTGTTTTTCAACGTTGTGTTAGTTTCTGGTGTACAGCATAGTGATTCAGTTATTCCTTACTCTTATTGCCAAAAAAACAAAGACATATATTTGCAAAGTGAAAGAGGGCAAGTTAAGACCATAGTATGACACTATTTAAAACTGCATTATTTGTTTCTCTTAGGGTACAATAATCTGCCCCACAACAGAATTTGCCCATGTTAGCTGAGATTTAAGAACTGAATTAACAGCTTTTGCTTAACTTACCACATCAAAATTTAGATTTTCTTCAACCCATGATTTTGCCTCTTCAAATTCATCTTTCATTTCCATAATAAAAAGTGTATCCAGAGCATCTACTATTGTTGCTCCTTTGAAATTACCTGAAAATATCAGGAAAATATTTACTCAGTAAAATACTTTCGACAGATACATACATGCTAATTGACCATATCTTGGAAAGGGAGAGGGTAATAGCAAATTTATCAGTAAACAGGAATCCTGAACACGCCCTGAAATTCTTTCAGCGAAAGAAAACATAAAAGCTGCATCAAAACCAAACCAAAAATTATCACAGGCTACAGATTGGTACACTAATCTTTAGAGTCTCTTCTGAGTTGCAGAAAATAAATCCCTTAGAAATCTCATTTGTGATTGCAATCTCTAGCAAGGGAAAAAAAAACAGGCCTGAAACAAGGAGCAACACACATATTAATTTTAATGTACTTATATCAAAGTGCACCTATGCAAAACTGTCTAAATATAATTAGATCTAAGATTGTCTAGTGATAGTGCTAAGAAACCACTACTCTAAAATGGAATTCTGCCCCCTCTTTGCACCCTGACAGATCCTCCCCTCCCCTCCCACCCTCCTAGCCAGTCCTGACTCTGATTTATTTTCTCTGAACTCCCTCAACAGGAAGACTTCACGTGCTCTTACACTCATTACTTTTTACTTTTATTTTAACTACTTATACGCATCTCCTTTCAGTCTGTAAACTTCCTTAGAACAGAGAAGTCATGTCTTGTTCATCTCCACAGTCCATACTAAGAATTCTAGTATGTTTTTAATGCTTAATAATAAATTAAAAACCACCACTGTATTAACAGAGAACTAAATAAACTCTCTGATAAAGATTATGGCAAAATTTACACATAACCGCTTTCTTAATGGTATGAACAACTTTCATAGAGATAAAAACAAAAATGGAGTTAAATTTTTTTAAATTATAGTAAACAATAAATTTAAGATCTCTGAGCCTGCGTGAAGTTGCTGAGTTTCTCTCTTCAATTCCTACTTTTCATCACCTATGTTAACTGGTCACTGTATCCCCAGAATACGACTTCAGAAACATCTGAAATCAGTTGAACTGCCACTACTGCAGGTTCAGGCTCTCTTCATCTCTGAAGTGTGTCACTATACTAGACCAACCAGCCTTTTCCCCACTCTTCGAGCTCTCCCTAACTGTTCTTGCAATACCCTTCTCCCTACCAGAGAGCCTACGGTTCTTCAGAACTTCGTATGAGCATCTATTGAGCTACCCAGTGCTTCGATAATTCACTGTCTACACATATGTCTTCTGCACTAGGCCATGAACTTTGCAAAGACTTGTATAGTGTCTATTAACACCAGTGCTGGAGAGAGAGCCAAACTCAAGGAAGGTCCTAAATAAGTGGAAAAGCACAGCGTGGCGATTAGGAGCAGACTCTGACCTGAGCCACACCTGGGTTCAGATCCCAGCTCAGCTAGTTAATAAGTGGCTAACACAGGGCAAGCTATTCTCTCAGCTTCATTTTTCTCATGTATAAAATGCATAAAATAATGAGGTTAAATGAGAAGATGCACAAATGGCATGTGGCACATACTGTCAGATGATACTGCTATTTGTTTTATGATTTGATACTATTTAACACCTTCAGTTGAATTATAGAAAGTCACCTTTTCTATGGTGAATTCAGAAGCATCAGAATAAGACTCCCTCCCCTTCATCCTGTTACTTACAGACAAAACTACGGGAGTTAAAACCGAATTGAGTACAGTGGGAAGGGCACTGGGTAGCTCTGTGACCTAAGGAATCCACCTACCACTTCTGATATTTAGTTTCCTCACCTCCACAATGGGAATGTTATGTAACACCCAGACAACCAATCGCAGAGGGATGCCGAGAGACCAAATGCAATAAGAGCATGCCAAAGAGGATAAACGGGAGTTCAAATAACTGGCCTAATCCATCCTCACTTTCTCTCCCACGGCACAAACAGGAGAAATTTAGAGCCAAAGTTGAGAGTCACTAAAATACAGTGAAGGTCACCACGGCTGGCTGCCTTGGCCAGCTTATGGATAAAGACACAGCTTTCACCTGACAGGAAGCAGTTAATGCAGCCAGCAAATGCTCCTCTGCTAGGTACCACATGGGAGCTAAAAATCATGATGCTGCATCCATAGCCATTAAACAAGAATCTTTGGAAGTGTGCCCCAGGCATCAGTATTTTTTCAAGGGACACAGGTGGTTCTAATGTGCAGCCAGTGCTCTGTCTGAAGGACACGCTATGCACATTCCCTGCAGACAACTCCATCAGGTGTGCAAGTTTCCTAGCAACACAGCCTGGAGGGTCACACAAACTTTCTCCATCACCCACAAGTTCAGGCGATTGAAGAGGAGTTACTGTCACTAAAGAACCAAAGTACATTCTACTCACCAAACAAACTGCTTGAATGGCCTTCTTTTGATACAGGCTTCAGTTCATTTTGCCCCCAGGCATAACGTTTATAATTATTCCAAGCATGTTTCATCATCTGAGAAAAGAAATGAAAATTGGATTATAATTTGAAGTTGGGATGTTTTTGCTTCAAAATAGAGCACATATTGAAGACCTAAAAGTTAGAACATTAAAAGTCACTGCTTAGTGAAAAGGATGATGATTAATTAAAAGTGACGGTGGTATGAATAAGCTAGAACACACACATAACACACAAATACACACCGTCCCTTTATGTTTACAAATGGAGATTTTACTTTTCTGACTCCATTTAGCCCTATTTAATATACATATCATTTTCAACAGTCAGTTCTCAGCAACAGAAATTTAGCTTATCATAAAAGGATGAACCATTCTCACACCTATTTCATCCTCTTGACATTAAATCTGCAATAACTCTATATTTAAAGTTCATATTTTTGCATAAGGTTCTCTGTACTTAGTATATAGACAAATATCCAAGGTTACCACTTTAAACACTTTGACGTATCTTGACCAAGTCAATATGGAGAAGTATTTTTAAGTATCTATAGGGGATGGAAAAAAGAAACTCTATGGGTATAAAGAGATTTTGGAAAACTTCAGCCTATTTTAATAAAATTAATATTTAACTGTATATATATATCTGTGTATACCTATGTAACTGAAGATTGACTCTGTATATTACCATCCTAGACTCCTTGTACCAAGAATGTTTTTAAAGTCCAAAACTCCCATAAAGTAGTTGTATACATTTTAAAATGTTATTAATTTTAACAAAATTAATTTATCTACATACAGTGAAAACCAATCAATTTCTTTCGGTTCATAGACAAAGTTCTGATCTTTTGTGCTAGATATTAACTGTAGTAGAAAGTGAACGATTTTCAAGGGGAAAAATTATTCTCTAAGAGCTTATCAAAATAGTTGTATAACTACTATATAATAGTTGTGCAAATTATTTTCAGTGACTCCAAGAGTATACTGCAGATAATTATTTTTGCATACATTTTTTTAAGAAGTGTTGAGGACTCCTCAGCTGTCTAGAATTTATTCATGCCACTATTCCCAATCCATTAGAAATAGTAATTAAAATATGGACATAATTTGGAAATATTCTAATTTGGCTCCATATTTTAAAATATCTTAAAAAGCATCACATAAAGCTATAAATATTACATAAAGGCTGTTTATCACTAAAAATCTAGAGCAAAATCAATACAACTTTATTAATAAGAAAGTCTTCAAATGTCCCTGATAAATACATAGTGAACATTTTTATTTAATCAATTTGTATATTACCTTCTTTCTCACTACTATTGCTACTAATCCTAGCTATCAAAAATCTGTACTATCTGCTAGGTACTCTGCTAAATGCTCTATATTCAGTTTTGTGTTCATTTCTCATTACAACTGATGAAATGAGGTGTATTATCATTGTTTGGTAGATGAAGAAACTGAGACTCAGAAGATGAAAAAACTGAGACTCAAAATTAAGATATTTCTCCACAGCTGAGGAGCCAGGTTCCTCGCTGAGGTGGACTGGCTCCAAAGTCAGTCGCATCAGTCCCACACTACATCAGCTTCCTTTAATGAGTCAAAAACAGAAGCTTCCTTTGATGAATCAGATTGTTGATCTTCTAACAATCGATGAAACGTGTTAAGCGTTTTGAAGACTTTCTCCTTACAAATTAATTTTATTGAAAAGTATAAGAGATTTGAAGGGAAAATAACCTGATTTATAATCCCAATACCACCAGTTAGTCACATAATCATGGATGAGTCATAGAAAAAGTGGGATCAGAATTCCTCCCAGGGTGTGTGTAAGGACTACAAGAGCAAGGCCTGTGTGATGGCACCTGGCACACTGCCTGGCATACGGCGAATAATCATGTACCTATTGAATTTTAAACCTGATTGAAACCAATTAAAGTCACATCACAGAAGAAGAAACTAACGAGCCTCTGAAAAGACTAGGGACACGAACACTAGGTACAAAACCACCTTGAGATTACATCTGAATTTGATTTGTGTTTTCCCATTAAATGTACAATATGTGGTAAACTCTTCATTCCTGTACATTTCCAAAGATACTTTATAAATTCAAAAGCTTTTGGAATATACCTAAAGCAAGAACAGAGAAAAACTGCTATGATGATTTGCTTCAGCTCCAAGGCTGAATGGAAACCAGTGCCGTATACTATTAATGACTCAAAGACAGCATAAAGCTCTCCCATAGAAGGCTGTCGCTTTCTCAAAACTGTTCACTTATACAATGTGCCACTAGTAAAGAACCTCCTTGAGTTACCTCTGTAGTATATATTAACTTTTCTTATCTTTTTTTCCTTCAAGGCAAAATCTGACACTAATTGCTTATCTGCCTGTATCTCAAAAGCTGCTGTGACACACTTCTCAAAATGGGTTCCTCATCCCATGGGATTTCTATGAGTTAAGTTTAGAAAAGAAAAAGGAAACGGACATGGTCAAAATGTCCTGTATGGAGCATCAAGAGTGATTTCTCCAGAAATCTGTGAAATGAAGAGGAGCAGCCAAACTGTTACTGGATTCCAACGGTTGCTCACCTCTGGAGATGATTTACCACGTCAAAGCACACAAGACTTCGTGTGAGTGTATGTGTCTAGGGGGGTGTGTGTGTGTGTGTAGAATAACAATGAGATTAAATTCACAAGTCATATATAAAAGCAACTTTGTAACTCTGATTTATGACTTACACAAATTTTGAAAGTATCCAAGTGCTACTAGCTTCTAGTTTTACAGTGCTAAGCCACTAGCCAGCTGAGGGACCGTGAGAATGAAGCATTTACTCCCTCTAGACTCAGTGTGCTCAAGAGCTGTTAGGACAAGAACGGCACTTCTAAAACGCAACTGCTAACGTAGAAGCTCATAGAAAGGATTAACCCTCGGTTTTCATAAGCTCCTTCATTTTGTTTTGCTGTCTTTCATCAATTTAATTAGGGTTACACAGCCTGACATACTAAGTAGAAAGATTAAAATAGGTCTAAATTAGATGTTGATTAGGATGTCAAACCCAGAACTAGGACTCTCTCAAAAAAAGATAAACTGAAAACAAGTCGAAAATTTTTGTTGAATTTTATTTTTTCCTGAATATTTATATTTGTGTTGGTAAAAGGTGCAGCTAACATAACCTGTAAAGGGAAATATACAAGATCCTGGAATGGTAATCCATTGTTTTGACCCAGAGAAGCTGACATTAAGGCATAAAACACCAAAATTAGCATTCTTGACTCTATGCCTATAGAATATTCCTCAATTAGCACTTTCTTCTCAATTGGCATCAGTGCTGAGTAATTAGGCAAAGCTGCTTATTGGGTATCTGCTACCCTATGAGTGATAAGATGCTAAAGGACTAGCAGGGAAATGTCCGCAGGTCTATCATAACCTAATAGATAACATATGGAAGCTTAACATTCTCCCTTCTTACGACACTCACAAATGTTTACAATAAATATAAGAGAATAATAAGAAAACCAATTAAATGTTGTGCCTAACTCTATTGTTGTAAATAACAGTTTGTTTCCATTTGATGCCCTAATCAAGGACACGGTAAGCCATGAATAAACAAAAATATGCTTGAATTTCCCCAGGTATGTGTACATTTCACAATTGACATTTTTGTCACTAGCAACTACCCTTAGCAAATATTTTTATTTGCTGATACTTTAATCACATGATCTTAAGTTATTCATAAGGCACATTAAACTTCTTTTTGAAAATCTGTTTTTTTCAGACAGGTCTGATGAGGATTTGGGGCTTTCAGTGCCTTTAAAAAGTACACATGTTCAAGTCCCACTTACAGGCCCCTCCTGTGGGGCCTTACACAAAATTTCCATAGTTTGGCAGTATGATCTGGGTTCCTGGTTCTGGCTGACTGATTCAGGCCCTGGTGTCTGATCCAAAGAAAGACATGAGCCATGAGCCTTTGAGGTGAGGCACCCAGGGGTGATGTTCTCTCCAGTGGATGGACAAACCCAGTCATCTACTGCACCTTGGGGAGTGTAACTGGAAGATAGTCACAGAGAATTGGAGGCCAGAGGCGATGGAGAAGCAGAGAGTACAAATATATAGAGGAAAAAAGCCACAAGAAGTCACAATTGAAATCATGAGGGAGATGGAAGGCAAGGGGAGAAAAATAAGAGGAGGCTGGGAGGCAGATGGGGGAGGGGAGGGCAGAGCTGGGGGTGGGGCTCAGTTATCTGCACGGTGCCCCAGGGGAACCAGGTTTGTAGAGCTGCTGTATGACCACAGACAACGCTGCTGAATCCTAACTGTTGAGGAATCTCTTCCTCTCCTCCCGAGGCATGGCGCTTTGCCTGCTGAGACTGTTTACTTACTTCCCCTCTGTGTCCTTACAGAAAATCCTCCTGTTTATTTGAGGAGGAATGTGTAAGAGCAGGTCACCAGCGGCAGGCATCTAACAAACTGGGTTCATATCTGAGCTCTGCCACCACTGGTGTGACTCTAAGCGAGACAATTAATCTCTCTGAGCCCACTTTCCACATCCATTAAGTGTAAATAAATAAAAGAACCAGCCTCATTGGTTACTGTGATGATTGAATAAAACAATGCATTAAATAAAATAACACATTGTCTGACACATAGTAAGTGCTCGATAAATTACAGGCATTAGAATTATTTTTATTAAAAATCTAAACATTTCTCTGATCTTTGCAATCTGAAAGAGTTTCCTACTTATTCCTACTAACATATTTAAACAGGGAAGGCAAATATACACAAAACCAGGTTTAACCAGCGTACAAACTGTAAACATACACAACTACTCAGTATCCAAAAAGTGGACAGAGAAAGGATGAAGGCCCTTTCTCCAAAAGATCTTCTCCAGACGTAGGGTGACATGGGTCAACTTTAGTTCTGAAGGTTCATACACTAGCTTTCTTGAAATCTTGGTTGTGTTAGGTATCCTTATGTAGGGGATTTGTTTGAGGGATTTGGGGGGCTGATTTAGGAAAAAGATATGACCATGAGAGACAGTAGCACCCAGGTCTTACTGGGTGGTGT